CATTAATTGAATCACGTTTTAGTCCTGTTAATTTTTTTGTGCGCCCAACAATTAAAGTTTTTTATTTTATTTTAGGGGAACTTTTTGCACTATATCTTTAGAATCAGATCTTCATTTTTTAGTTCGTCTCACAATACTACTGCCTCTTTTTGCCTTTGGGTCCTGCTTCTTGTAACTTTTGTTACTCATTCTTTTTCCACACTTCCCATTTCTCGACTTGTGAAAATTGCAATTTCTTTAAATGATAATTGTTGTTAGATACAATTTACTATTTTATTTTTTGATTTTACATGTATTTACAAAACAAATGTTATATATATGTAGGTAGAATCCAACATATATTTTGAAAATAATAAAATCACCATATCACATCAAAAATCATGTAAAAAGCGAAATGTTCAATAAAACATTTCAATAATATATAGCATCCTTCTCTTTTAATACTTTTTGTTTTTAATGATTGGGTGTTCGGAACAATTTACATGCATCTTGACTAATCTTGAGATTCACGCAAAGCGCTCTCTCTATATGGATCGGACAACTCTCAGACAGAACCCACAAACGTGATCCTAAGAAATTAATAACACTTAGTGGAAGTAACCTAAGACCTGGGGAAGCACACCCCAAACCACTCTCTAGGCCAATCCCTTGGAATTCTTTCTTTTTAACACTTTGGTTTCATTTTGAAGTAATTAGTAGCGTAAGAAAGGGGATGCTAAAGAAAATGATGTATTTTGACATGGTGATTGATGTTGAACCCATTAGACTTGCTTTTTTTAAGGCTAATTGGCTTATTTTTTTTTGGTTTACTTTTTTGGGCTACTTTTGTTTTAGTGAACTTTTTCTACTTTCAGTTTTTTTTTTTTTTTAATTTTAAAGGGAGCAACTTGCCTCCAATCTGAGAACAGATTAGGCGGTGCTGTTCGGCCCATGAGAACCTACCACGGGTTGAATCTTTTAATGTGTAGAACTCGTCGAGTACTATATACTTGTAAAAAATCACGTTGATCGGATATCGATAACTATCTCATTGGATCAATTTTTTTATCAACTGTTAATTTGTTCACCGTCTATTTTTTTTATTATTATATTAACTGATTTGATTACATAACTATCGATATCCGATTAATGTGATTTTTTATGAGAATATAATAATCGATGAGTTCTACACATTGCACAATTTAAATTATCAAAACGGGACCCGTGGTGGGCCCCCATGAGCTGAACATCACCGTCCAATTTGATCTCGGATTGGAGGCAAGCTGCATCTTTTTTTTACATCATCTACACTAAAAGATTCTAAACTCAAAAATATATATATGGGATTTTAGAAAAAAAAAAGTTTCACTAACTTCTTCTTTTTTTTTTTTTTTGTGCGTGTGTGTGTGTTTTAGTGGGCTTTTTTCAATTTCTTTTTAAATTTTTTAAATAGTTTATTCTAGACAAGCCTAAAAGGTAATATTTTTTTAGTCAATAAAAAAAAATTCACTAACATGTTGCTAAGCCTAATATTAACATCGTAGCTTTCTTTTGAAGAAACTATGCTTTTTTAAAAGGGCAAATTACATGTATTACCCTCGAGATTTAATAAAATTACTGATATTTCTCTAAGATTTGAAAAATTACAGATACTTCCTGAAGGTTATATTTACATAACAAATTAGGGGGTAAATTGTTATGAAAATATAAATTTCAGAGGACAATTTGTTATGAAAACATAAACCTCATGAGGGTATCTGTAATTTCCGAAACCTCAGGGGTATCTATAATTTAACTAAACCTCGAGGGAGGTTTATGTAATTTGGCCATAATTACTCACGTAGGTAGAGAGAGAGAGAGAGAGAGATTCTAGTGTTAAATAAAAAAGTGAAAGCAGCAAGAGGGGACAGAACAAGAACAAATGCTCCTTTGCTCTTTTTGACTTCCAATGAAGCAATCGACCTAATCCCCCCTCCAAGAGTCCAACTCTTTGTCTATGAAATGAGTTGGCTGTGCTGTGCCTTCTCTCTACTTTCTTGCAGCCTGTTTGATTAATTTCTACAACAAAGAAATTAAGTGGAAAGAGATGGGAAAGGCAAGGCAAGCCTAGAATAGTCATCACTCAACCCTTCATATCAATTTCATGATAGAAAATATAGATATCAAGAAATTGCTAAACATAAAAGATACGTGTACAGAATTGATAAACAAAAAAAATCAACAAAATTATTGCGTGGTCTAAATTTAATTAATGTATACTACATAATAATTTTCTTGAGATATTACGTGATATGTATGTGAGAAAGTAATCCTAACTAAAAAAACTATTCAAAAACACATGTTGGTGGTGTTGTGCCTCCACTTTAATTTGTTTTTATGTTTTTCACGGACTCTTCATTTATATATATTTTTTAGTAGTCAAGTGGGACTGATTAGGAATAAGAGTGGATTAGACATTAATTGTGGCTGGATCACAGAGGAGTATTGAGACCCACAAGTCGTCATTCCCTTGAAATTGGTTGATTGGAGTCGGATCGGACCCTCCAACTTGTTCTAGTCCATTATTGAATTAAGAAAAAAAAAATTTATCATAATTTTTTACATAATATTCAACTTAAATTATTTGATACTAATATTTTTTTTGTATGAATAATGCAATAAAAATTGACGACTTCACCACAAAAAAATTAAGGTTTTAGAGACCAAAATTTAGGAATAAAATTATTTTTTAGGGATTAAATAATTTTGTTGCGAAAAATATCGTTATTATATTTTTAACAATAATAATTGGGTATTAGTGATGAAATTATTATCCTTTTGGGACCAAATTTTTTGTCTCAAAAAATAAATCATTTTGAGATGGAATTATTTTGTCTCTAAAAATCTATTTATTAGTGACATTTTCAAAATTTTGTCGCTAAATGCCTTGTTTTTTATTTTTCGGGGTAACGTTTTAACAACTATCTTCATGACAATGGAAATTGATCCATAAATATCTTTTGTAACAAAATTTTCACTTTTAGAGACCAAAATATTTAATTTCTAAAACTCTTATATGTTATAGTGCTTTTATTTTGAATAATTTTGAAAATATGCCAAAGCCATTTCATTTTGGATATGATTTTTTCGTATTAAAATTTTATTTGTGGATTATTTTTATTTTTCAATAATAAATCACATTACTGAGTCTTTGGTTATTTATTTATATTATGTAACAGTGTTTTTTTTAACAATAATAATACTAAAAATTATAATCTTATATGAATAAAATAAAACAAAAATGTTGCGATAATTATATTTTTGTAGATAAGAGCGTTTTTTAAAATAAAATAAAAAAAAGAAGTGAAAAGCTCTAATTTAACCACATAATTTCTATACAATTTTTTTATTTATATAATTAAAAATAATAATAATAAGGTAAATATTTGGGGTGTAAGTGTGGAGGAGTGCCGGGCCAAATAGGGCGGTGAATATGTGGAACGCGTCAATCTCCCCCATTCTCAATCTTTTGACAAATGCTAGACGCAAATCAATTCAATGCCCCCACATGCCCAATCGGGAGTAAATATTGACACTTCTATACACACACACACACTTTCTTCCATGTAAACTATTTCAACAATGATTCATCCCATTAAAAATATCACCACTAATAGCACTAATGCATTAAAAAAGTAAAAAAAAAAAAAAACACAACTCCAAGATCAAAACATCACATAATTAATGGCGGAACCTACTGCCACCTAATTAGTGAGAGCACTAATTAGTGAGAACAAATATTTTTCAAACTATTTTGAATGACGTGACAAGTTTAGTTTGAAGGTTTTAAGAGAAGAAGGTTGTAGAAATGTGAATTATTAATTTTGTTTTTTTTTTGTCAGGTCATTCGAAAATTTTGTAAAGAAGAAATTACATAAATGAAATGTTTATCAAATATAATATATAACGGTGATATTATGTGATGGTATTATCATTAAGTAAATAATCTTAATTTATAATAAATATCATAAAATTGAATTAATTAAGATTTATTCTCTTTTCATAAAGAGTAATATTAAGAATTATGAAGAAAATATCATGAAAGATTCTTTATATTAGATTACATATATAATAAAACACTACATATTAATTAAAAGATAAAAAATTTTCATAATATATTTCTTGATATTTTTTTTCATTATCCCTAATAATATTTTTTTATAAATATTTATTGACCGATAATACTATTGCCCGATAATTCTACGTAAAATGATCTCATTGTACTTTCAATATTTTTTCCCAACACGGGCCCACTTGCCTGCCTAAAACTCTAGACCGCCTCCCCCACTTGGACTTGGCCCCGACCTAACCTGCTCCCACTGTAGCTGCCGTTTTTGACGCTCACTATTTCCTTCTCCATGACTGTACCACCTCCCTCTCTATTTTCCTTCAAAATTCTTCAAAATTTTATTTTTAAAAATATTTTTATTTATTTATTTTTTGATTTTTAATAAATAATTCTACTCAGATATGAACTAAGAAAGGGCGATGATTTTATAAATGAGAGCTGAAAATTTAAATTGCAAATCAGTCAAATGCAATAATAATTTATATGGTGCAATTATAAATTATACTCAATAAAATTAATTGTAATTTTTTTAAATTTTTATGAAGGTGTTCAAAGTCTCATCTCCACTTATCCAAAAGAAAATGAAATATTTATCTTCTTCTTCTTCTTATACTTAGAACATTTCATTTTAAAATAAAATTATTTATCAAAATAAATTTTAATTACGAATATATCATCACCTCATCATTCTTGTGAATTTTTTCTATTATAAGATTATAAGTTTTAGTATCACTATTAATGTATTATTTATTAATTATATTAATAATAAAATTATTATAAACACATAATATTTATTTATTTATTTTGTTTTGAAAAAAAAAAAACATTATTGAGATAGTTTTTATGCGGACAAAACAAGTCCTAGTGTAAACTAGACCATAACTAGAACATAAAGGGACTTGAGAGAGCGAGAGAGAGAATAGCCACTACTACCACACCACCTCCCAAGTCAAATCCCTTCATTTTCTCTCTTCACTCAAATCTACACACGCATTCTCTTTCTCTCTCTCTTTCTCTCACTACTTGTATTTGGTCTTCTTCTCCTAGTCTCAAGTCTCCATTCCCTTTTTATTGCCGAGTCCATTGCACCGTTTCCAGACCCCTCTCTCTCTCTCTCTCTCTCTCTCTCAGTCCCTCCTCTTGATTTATTATGGCCCAAGGAAGAAGTGAACTCTCAATTGATTCAGATCGGATCGGATTATTCCTATACCACCCAACTGTCATCAATTCATTTCCCGACGACAACCACCACCACCACCTCCGCCACCATCACCACCATCACCACCGTCCCAAGCTCAAGTTTGAACCCATGGAAATGGAACCAACCACCACCAGGTCACCGATAAAAACCATCCAATTCCCAGTCAATCTCAACTGCACCACCACCACCACCTCCGATCAAGACATTCCCACGCCGTCCGATCACAATCATCGCACGGTCATCGACGAGATGGACTTCTTCGCCCAGAATAAAAAACATGACGATGACTCCAAGGCTACAGCCACCACCGTTGCCGCCGATCGACCACCTCCCAAATTGGATTTCAACGTTAACGTAAGACCTTCACTACAAAATATGGGTTTACATACCATTTTTGCAATACCCACTTTAATACTTCTCATTTTAATTCGTCAAATATGCCAATTTCAATTCAATTTGGTTAGTTTCATTCACTGAATCCTATTGATTTTTATTTATTTATTTATAGACTGGACTGCACCTTCTGACTGCGAACACCAGTAGTGATCAATCAATGGTGGACGATGGAATATCTCCCAACTCCGATGATAAAAGAGCTAGGACTGAGGTAATAATAAGAACTAGTAATTTAATTTTTTATATATGCATATTTTTCAATTATGGGTTGTTTTCATTTTCATGAATTTACATTCAATTTGATGTTACTGGTTTTAGCTAGCTGTTCTTCAAGCGGAGATAGAACGAATGAACGCGGAGAATCAACGCCTGCGAGACATGCTCAATCAAGTTACAACCAATTACAACACGCTTCAAATGCATCTGATGACACTGATGCAACAACAACAAGAACGAGAACATCAACAAGACGATCGGAACAATAACAACATGCTAGATGGGAAAGTGGAAGTTGATGATAATAAGAAACGTGGTGGTCTAATGGTGCCTAGACAGTTCATGGACCTTGGATTAGCTGCGGAGACAGAAGAGACTGAGCTGTCTTCCTCGGAGGGGAGGAGCAAAGATCGGTCAGGATCGCCGGTGAATGATAATGGGGAGGCGGCGGCTTCGAAAGAGTTGTGTGATGATCAGGGAAGAGAGGAGAGTCCAGATAATGGATCGAGCCAAGGATGGTGTGGGGGTGGTGGTGGTCCTAGTAAGGTTGCTAGATTGAATAATTCTTCTAAAAATGTTGATCAAGCTACCGAGGCCACCATGAGGAAAGCCCGAGTCTCCGTACGAGCACGATCCGAGGCACCCATGGTATGTACTTAGAGCTAATACAGTGAATAGAAAAATGTTACAGTTCTTAAATAATTTATCAATTTTTTTATCAAATTTTCACATAAGTGTGAGATTCACACAAACTCACATGGGTGCACAGATTTGGTAGAAAATTTGATAAATTATTTGGATTCCTAACATCACTCCAATGAATATTAGTATCGAAAGTTTAAAATTTTAAATTTTAGCTAAATTAATTAGAAATTTGTCGATGACAGATCAGTGATGGATGCCAATGGCGGAAGTATGGGCAAAAAATGGCGAAAGGAAACCCGTGCCCTCGTGCCTATTATCGTTGCACCATGGCTGCCGGCTGCCCAGTTCGAAAGCAAGTATGTATTTCATTTAAAAAAAAATTTAATTTAAAAGAACTAATTATTTCAAGAAGATATTAGTGAGTTTCTCATAATATTTAATATTTTATCTTCAATTTTGAATTTAATCAATTAATTTTTTTTTTCTTTTTAGTGATTGTTAAATTAAGTAGGTGGAGTTCAATAAATAATTAAGGGCCTCGTGCCAAATTTAGAGAATTTGTATTTTTGGATTCAGAATATTAGATTTTGGGTAGTACATTAGATGGCCTATTACTCGATTTAAGTCTTACAGAAGGACAATTACTCGATTGTGTGTAGTTTTTTTTATAGAACTCATTCACTCATAAGTAGAATTTGCTACGACTATAGATAAAAAAACGAAATAATTTATAATCAAAATTTTGTCAACAAAAATGATATGATAGCAATATTCTTGAAATTAGAAGCAATAATAGTGCATGTTTTAGTTTAAAAAATGAAAAATCCATAAAAGTTCACATTCTGTATGTGAATTCTATACAAAAAAATTTATTTGTATATCACTATTTAGAAAAAAATATAGGATAAATTATGTAAATGGTCTATGTGGTTTACATAATATGTTAATTTGGATCCTATTATTTTAATTTGTTCGATTTTACCTCTTAATTTAACAAATTGTGTCACATTGGTCTAATAAATAACGTCTGTTAGGTTTGGGGGATGGAAAATTATCACATGCTTAAACGATGTGTCAATTTGGTTCATATAGTTTATACAACGTGTCAATTCGGTCCCTATATAAACCAAATAAACTACGGAGACTAAATTGACACATCATTTAAGTTTCCATCCATCAAACCTAACGACCGTTATTTATTGGACCAATATGATACAATCATTTAAATTAAGGGGCAAAATTAAACAAATTAAAATAATAAGGACCAAATTGACATATTATATAAATTACATAATCATTTGAATAATTTGCCCAAAAATATATATACAAAAAAGCATCCAAAATTTAGTGATAGTATCTCTCTACTCATTTCGATGGAATGTGAGCTCATTCAAGATGAAGATACTATAGACAACACTGTTTAAAAACACTGCATTTTAAACATTTATTGAAAATATTTGGAAATTGAGATTTTAACCTAATTTAGGTTAAAATTTATAAAAAGATAAAATAGACTAAAATAGTTAATAAGACAAAATGTCACATTAAACTCATAATCATTTCATTTTTTCTTTTACAAATATTACATCCAACTACAAATAAATCCAATCATTTTTTCAAACACAAAAATTTTAACCTACTAAAATAACCAAAAATTAAAATAACCTATTAAATAACAACTTCCCAAATACTCATATTGTATTGTTTTTGCAGCTCCGTTTGGGAAGATTATTTATGGGCGTTTTTGGTTATTTTAGTCACAAAAGATAAAATAAGTTATTTTAGCCACAACAAACAAAACATCACATCCAACCCATAATCATTACACTATTCTCTCATAAAAAAAGCCAAAAAAGTCAAAAAGTCAAAAAATTCTTTCCAAATCAAATTTTTTAGCCCAGACTACAATAGCCAAAAAGCCAACACACTTCCAAACGAAACCTTCGTATGGTAATTTTCTTGTTCTAAATTGAAATTGATGGTGCTTGAACAGGTACAGAGATGTGCAGAAGACAGAACCATCCTCATTACAACCTACGAAGGCAATCACAACCACCCATTGCCTCCGGCTGCCATGGCCATGGCCTCCACAACCTCCTCAGCCGCCCGAATGCTCCTCTCAGGCTCAATGCCGAGTGCCGACGGCCTAATTAACTCCAATTTTCTAGCCAGGACACTCCTCCCATGCTCATCAAACATGGCCACAATTTCAGCCTCAGCCCCATTCCCTACTGTCACTCTAGACCTCACCCAAAGCCCCAACCCATTACAACACTTCCAAAGGCCACCAAACCCATTTCATGTCCCATTCCCTAACCCACAACCACCAGCCAATCTACTGCCCCAAGCATTTGGCCAGGCATTGTATAACCAATCAAAATTCTCTGGGCTTCAAATGTCACAAGATGCCCAATTGGGCCACCAAGCCGTGCCACTGCCGCCACTGAATCAGCAGAACTCGTTGGCAGACACCGTTACTGCCCTCACTGCCGACCCCAACTTCACCGCAGCTATAGCGGCAGCCATCTCTTCTCTAATTGGTGGAGGTAACAATAATGGAAATGTCGCGGCTACCACCACCACCAGCAACAACAATGGCGGCGTTTCGAGCAGTAATAACAATAGCGGTGACAATAATAAAGTCAATAATTCAAGTTTTATGGGGAATTAGGGGGTTATATGGTTATTGTCTTTCAAGTTTTTATATTTAAAATTTTTATTTTTATTTTTATTTTTATAATCCTAAAGTTTTGTTTTGGGATGGAAAATGAGGTATACATGTTCATTTCTTTTTGTGGATGTGGAGGGAGGTCAATTAGCCATAGATTTTTTACATTCTTTGTTAGTTTTAAATAATGTCATCTAAATTGTCATGATATAAGGAAAAAAAGTGCAGATTTAATTGCTTTTGTACGGATATGGAATTTGGATGTGTCTATTTTGTTGTGTGTATCTTTGAGCAATCAAAATATTGAAAATAAAAAAATAATTCTCTTTGTCTCTTCCTCTGCACAAATCCATAGGTTTAATCCATGAAAAGTAAGTTGAAAGTTATCATAAAAATAAAATGGGTAAATTAAATTTATTTTAAATGTGATTTACTGGCGGTTGTTATGTTTGAATTTATGCCATAAATTTTAATTGCAGATCTTTTTTTATGATCTATGACTTTTTCGTGTTCATAATACTTTGTCTAATATCTCAAGATATAATCTAATAACAGAGAATAAAAAATTTGATACAGAAAATTTCAAGCAGTTTTTTAACATGCTCACCTTTTATGTTCAACATTCATATGTTAATAAAGCACAAACACGAGATAATATTTACAATTTAATACTTCAATTTAATCACCATAGCTAGTATGACAATTTATCAGATATTTTTGAGATCGTTGTAACATTATTTATATAATATTCTAGACAAATAAAAAAATATAATACAGTAAATTATTGTTTGCCTTTCAAATAAAGTTGAATAACATATACTACCTGCAAAAATTCAAAAAATTTCCCTATGCACTACATAATACTTTGGATCAGTCAATAATTATTTGCATAGGTGAAAGATCTTGTTTGGTATAATTTATTATAAGTTAAAAATTAATAATTCAAAAGTAAAAATTAAAAATATATCTCTCTCAATTTATTTTATCTATTAAGTTATAAATATAAACTGTATTAAACAGTCTGATATAAATGCTCAAATTAAAATAAATAATGAACAGCTCGTATTAAGTCGGCTTAACGCCAAAAGTCATGGGGATGGAGCCAAAGTGAAGAAAGAGGACAAAGGAAAAGATAAAAGAGAAAAGGATAGGGTTGAAATAGAAATAGATTCTTTACTTGGAGTTGCTTGCTTGGTTGTAATCTTGAAATGAGATTTTTCATACACATGGTAATGAAAGGGGTATGGTGTGGCGTAGTCAAGAAAGAGGTCAACAAAACCGTCTCAAAGTGGTTAGAAATGAAGGCCATTGTTTGACACGGAAGGACACCCCAAAAATGAAAGAATGGTAACTTGTCTCACTTGATTTTCGTCATTTTGCTTTTTGGCCCCACTGTCTTCTCTTCCCATATAATAATATTAGAAAAATAATTAAAAAGTCAAAATTTTTTTTTTAACTGAAACTAAAAAAAAATTACAAAAAATAAAAAAAACTGTAAAATAATTATATTATAGGTGGAATTTTTTTAACATAAGTTTCACACGGAAATTTTTTTTATCATACACATAAAAAATTTATACCCGATACATAGAAAATTTACACCATTACAAGAATAAAATTATTGTCACACTATCCAACTAAAATACAATTTCTCTTAATTTCTATGAGAAGAGAGAAAGATTAACACACTCCACGTCCATTTGATGTCGAACCATTCCAAATTAATATTGGGCTTGGCAAATCTCTAAAAAAATAATTCTGTCAGCCGGTTTTAAGTCTGTCAACCAGTTTTAAGTCGTATCCTGACTCATTCTTCTATTTTTCATTTTTTTAAAATTAATTAATTTCTAATAACTCTTCCTTTGTTTCTTATAAAAATACTTTTCATTTTTCTTTTTAAGTTGATGGAGAGGATCAAAGTCATTTACGTGGTAAACGTAAAACAAACAAATTTATATAAGTGAAAAATATATATATTTTTTTCAATCAAAAGGCTAATTAATGTTAGCATATTGAGTACCGCGATACCATCTCACCTCTACCCCCCACCCCACCATAATACAATTACTACTAAATTAATTTCAAACTCACAACCAAACATAAAAATAAATAAATAAATATTTGTTTTTTTTCTTTTGACCTAAAAAATATTTTTTGATCAAAATAAACAGAGTATCGCACAATAAAATTTCTCAAAACTTACACAGACAATCACAATTGTGAGTATGTGTCTATGTAAGTTTCTATGATTTTTTATTTTATTTTATTTTTTTATTTGTAGCATAACAAAAATCTCTTCTATCTCAAGTCATTTCTCTCACCGCGTAATGTGATATCTTCAAATTAAAAATTGCTTAATTTTTCATATCTGAATCCTTCAACGTTGTGTACCCATTGTAATACTAAGTTTAGTCATTGTTCATATAACGTCCCTCCTAATATGACAAATTTAAACGACAACCAAACAAAATTCCTTTTGTCCAGAGACTCCAAAGGGAAAAGGAGGAATAGCTTCTTGACAAATTTCACTTCGGCTCTGAAGAAGACTCCAAGGGATCAGCTTTCTTAATTCTTTACAAATTTTATATTGTATTTGGATTTTGAATTTTTAAGAAGAAAAAAAAATAAAAATAAAATTAGAATCTGTATAAATAACTTAGTGATAAAAAAAACCTTGTCATTAGATAAATTATAAACTCCAACATCTTAAATTCAGCTCCTTTTGATATTGTGTCTCTTTTTAAATACACATTTTATTATGTAAGGATGAATTCAATATGACTGTACTTTGGAAAGACTTTCATAAAATAAAATAAAGAAAATTTTAACTTGAACTTAGACCGCTGGTTTGTCATTCAAATTTGATAATATAACGAAAAAATTAACTTACATTTCATTCACGTTGTTCTTATATATATTTTTTCTTTTTCAAATCTCTAGCTAAATTTATTATTCAAATACAACGTTAATGTCATACCTGAAAGTTTTGATTGCAAAGGGTGCAAAGCATGGTTTTGAACTTTCATTATTTAAAAAAACAAAAAACTATTGGACTTTTTTTATTATTAGATGATATAAAAAAATGAGTCTCGCGTATATTTATCAATGGTAAGAGTCTAATGTTCTTAAGGTTCAACATTTGATGGAGGCACAGTTCAGGATCATGTGTCTCAAAAAACTCCTTGTTTCCAATGCACTAATCACCCAATGCGATGCAAATTATCTGGAGTCATGATGACTAGTATAATTGCAATTATTTAGTCTTTGCATGATTGTGTGCCCAACTACTAATATTTTATGATTTTCCCACACTATTCTTATTTCTTTTAGGTCATATAAATACACAGCTCTTACTTATTGGCCTAACACACCTTCACCGTATGCTAGAGGTTGAAGCTCCATTTGTGAGAGTCAAGAGGTACCAAACAGAACACTGAAGGTGCCTTGGATTGGCTTTGCTGGATTGGACCACACACATAACACAACACGGGTTAAGAGAAAGTATGCACGGCAAAGCGCTCACAACTGTACATACAAAAACGATGTGTTTGGTTATATTAGGCCACAAATTCAACGTGAAGTCTATTATTTGTTTAAAAAAAACAAAAAAAATGTGAAGTCTATCTTTTAGAAGCGTAATTATTCAGTACTCTTGAAGTATTATGTTACAATTTTCACATAGCATTCTCAATTAATAACGTAACAAAAGATTTTATACGTAAGACAATACTGACTCACTTTTGTTAGATCTCTTAAAGACAAAGAATGGTATGTATCTTATGATTTTTTATTTGTCAAGAATACTATCTAATACTCAAAAGCAACCTAATACTTGTAATTTTGATCACCTAATCATTGATAAACTCTCTTTCAGTCCATGAACTGTCCTTTGGTTACTCCTACCTCCAAGTGGTCTTGCAAGTGTCCTCTAGATTCTTCACTAACTGCTAAAATCGCATGAGATAAATAGAGAAGAGAATTGAGGTTTGTTGACCCATGTGGGTCCTAAAGACGATGCATACATATTGTACCTGCCTTGTAAAATGTTTGTCATTTGTAATCAAATTAATGAGATTACAGAGAGTTAATGGAGCCTTCGTGTTTCATTCATATCCGATGACTTTAATTTGGAGATAAGGTAAGTAAGGTAAGCCAAAGTTCTATTTAATGTCAACTATGCTATTTAAGTTGTTTGTAAGAAAAATTACGCTAGTAGTTCCCATAGTTTGGAACTTGTGTCACTTTAAATCCTAACTTTTTAATTGTGACACCCTGAATTTTGAATCTTGTTTTAAATAAGGATAATTGAAGATATCATTAGATTTTTTAAGGGTAAAATCGTCAATTTGATAAAATATAAACTAATTTGACAAAAATAAATGTCAAACAAATATTTTTGAATTTTTAAAAATTATTTCTACCCACTAAAAATAAAATTATGTAAAATTGATAAATCTTTTAGACATTTATTTTTTTTTTTACCAAATTAATTTTTTTATATGTTTGGATGATGATCTTGTAAAATTAATTTTTAAAAATTAATCATGTAATTTTTATTAATGTTCATCAATTTTACATAATTTTATCATTGGTGGATAAAAATAATTTTTAAAAAATTAAAAATATATTTTTGACATTCATTTTTGTTAAATTAGTTTATATTTTATTAAATTGACGATTTACTCTTAAAATTAAACAATGGTATCTTCAATTGTCCTTATTTGGAACAAGATTCAAAATTCAGAATCAAATGTGTCACAATTGAAAAGTTAGAGATCAAAGTGACACAAATATCAAACTATAAGAACGATTAGTGTAATTTACCCTTGTTTGTATGTTTGTGAAGGATACCAACATAAATAACACATTCTCTCCATTTGGGAAGAAGAAAATAAAAATAAAACTAAATAAATTATAGCAAATTTATATATATATATATATATATACATATACATAATATATACTAGTAATAATCGGATTTGGCCATCCAGAATTTCAATGATTATTCTCAAGTTTATCTCATTAAATAAATGGACCATAAAATTTAGCCTAACTCACTCCAACCATACTCTCTACTTTTCACTAGCTAAAGTACAAAAAAATACACTATTTATTTTACTTAATTACTTTAGCTATTATATTCTCCAACCACGCTCTTTTTTTTAGCTAATCATTTAAACTAACTTAATTAAATTTTAAAATAAAAAAATACTAATTGTTGATATTTTACTAATATAAATTTGCAATAA